ATAAAATTATCTTTAGTAACATTAATGTTTTACTCAATCAAAAAAAAAAAAAAAAAAAAAAAAAAAAAATTCATCCTTTTTCTTACAACTGTAGTAAATAAAAGACATTATTAATCTTTTAAAAATCACAGTTAACAACTTATACGGAAAATAACAAGTTATCCATGTATATTTTCTAGTTAAAAAAAAATTAAAAATTCATTACTTTTTTTTTTTAATTCTGTAAATTATTTTTTTTGTTGAGTATCTTTTTATAATATTATATTAATTATTCTTCAGATGATAATTTCATGCAAAGATTAGTTTGGGTAACTAAATAGGTCATCTGTGTAGAATTTAATTTTTATTAATCTAATTAATTTTGGGTCAACTGGATATAAAATTTGATGTTTAAAACTAGTATAGAAAAAATTTTGATATTATTAGAATTTAACTATACGCTTTTAAAATCTTGTTAATATCTTTAATTTAAATTTGCTAGTTCATTTTAAAAATTTATTTTATTCATAACAAGTAGTTTTAATGAGTATTTAAATTTTTGAAAAAAATGAGAACTTTTTCTTAAGTAAATATGTGTCTCTAAAATTATAGTAACTCAATTGTGTGATCTACTTCTATAAAATTTAATTAATTGAGGTATTAATTAAATTTTGCAATAGTTAAAATTAGAAGATACTAATCTACATGTTTTTTATTACTTTTTATGTTCAATACTTGGTTAATAAAAGGCTTTATTAACCTTTTCGGAAAATAAAAGGACTAGTTATATGAAGAATACATAGTTGGTCATGCAATTGTTAATTAAATGTTTCATTAACCTTTTTGGTAATAAGAAGGACTAGCCATATGAAGAATACGTAGTTGGTTGTGCGTATGTGGTTAATAAAAAGCTTCATTAACCTTTTTGGCTATAAAAGGACTAGCTATGTGGAGAATACATAGTTAGTTGTGCTAACTAAAAAAAAAAAAAAAAAAAAATTATTGGATTTTTTTTTGAGAAATGTTTCTTTCGAAAAAGATAAAGATAAAAAAAAAAATAAAAAAAAAAAAAGATTAAATTTATTTTTTTTAGAGAAGAAAAAAAAATCAGAGAGAGATTTTTTTTTAAGAAGATAATGATATTTTTGTAAAGATCTTCTAGGATAATTATTCTTTCAGACAATAATCAAGATGGTATTGTGTTTCTGTATGAATATAATGTAAATTATGATCCATATCCAACTAAAACATATTTATGCCGTCTTATGAGTATTAACCAAACGATAGCATTATGCGAATCTCTTGATATATATTATATAGATAATAAACTTTCTTTTAGTTCTTATGATGTTATTAATGAAAAAAATGATCTACCTTTGAAACATTTAAAAAACCCCAATCATAAAATTATTAAATCAAAATATAAGGATTTATTTATTAAAGAACATTCCTGTCATCATATAAAAACAAAATACATTTCACATCATAGTTGCATGTATGCCATATGTGAAAAAAAAAATGAAGATTATATGTTGTGTTCTGATGCTAATTATAGTGGAAAATTAATATTTTTGCATGACTGGAATCCAATAAATAGAAAATTTATATATCTTCCAGAAAGTTGCTTAAAAATAGATTCTAATTTCGTATGTAATACATATTTTTGCGAAATCAATGCTAAAGATGAATTTTTTCCATGTGAATATAAAGAAATTAGTTTTTTTTTTTTTTTTTTTTTTTTCTTCATTTCTTCTCTTAATTCTTCTTCAACATCATAATTTTCATCTTCTTCATCTGAAGATAAAAACTGCATAGTTAATATATTAGCCATTTTTTAAAATAAAATTAAAAACCCCATCTAATAATTTTTTTTTTTTTTTTTTTTTTTTATCTATCAAAATAAATTAAAAAGAAATAAGAGTTGAACTATTCAAAGAATTCAAAATAAATATTATAAATTGCTATAAATATATATATATATATATGTATTATACATGCTAAAATATACACACAAATATCATTTAAAACGTTAAATTTTATTATATAATTTAATTATTAGTGTAACACTAGATTTTTTTTTTCTTAATAACATTATTGTTTGAATTATCTTCAATTTAAATGTAATATATTCATCTTTATAATAGCAACAAAATAAAAAAAAAAAAAAAAAAAAAAATTCATGTATAGTTCCCTTCACTAATTTAATTAATTTAAATTTAATTTTAATTCTGCAAACAAGTAAAATTTATATATGTAACCTACTTCAATGAATATTTATTTTTAAGAAATATTTATTTACTTTAACCAAAATCCTATACTTTTACTAAAAATTTAAATTCTTATTAATTATCGATATTTAATTAAACATACCTTATTTATGAAGTTATGAACAATATTTAGAATTTCGTGCCTTTTTTTTAATAGAAATGAGTAATTATTAGAACACAAAATTAACTTACATAAATAAAAAAAACATGAAAATTTAATTAGTGTAAGTATAACATTTTCTTTTTCAAATAATAATCAAAATTAATTCTCAAAAATTATATGGATCATAAAAATTAAATTTTAATAACCTATAATTATTCATGAATTCTCAAAACTAATTATTTCTCCTTCAAAAAAAAAAAATTTACAAAAAAAAGTTGACTAATTTTTTTTTTTTTTATCTAATGCTTGTATGGATAATTATTATTCTAAAAAAGGTTAATAATGTCCATTATTAACCAATTATATAATCAATATGTATAAAACTTAATTATAGTATATATATTTTCTTAAAATAGTTAAAATTAATAAAATGCATTATACATAGTTTTTATTATTTTGTATGTTTAATACTTGATTTATGATTTTTATATTTCTTATTGAATGACTTGTGGCTAATTAATTGACTGTTCGATAACTTTGCTAGAGTGCTAAACAAATAAATTGGTAAAGTGCATGTAGAGTTGCCTCTACGGATTTAATGAATTTAAATATAATTTTAATGTTGTAAGCCAGTAAAGCGTGTTATATATGGTCTACTTCATTGATCATTTATTAGGTTTTAAGAGGTACTTATTTAATTTAAAAAGAATTGCATTATTCTTATTAAAGACATAAATTCTCATTAATTATTTATTTGTACTTATATATATTTTTAATTATAATGTTACAAATAATGTTTAACACTTAATTACATTTTATTAAAATTAACAAACGTACACAATATAATACAAATTAAAATTATATAAGTAGTAAACACATGAAAATTTTATTATAATTCTTTTCTTAAATTATCTCTTTAAAATTCATAATATAAATTCCATACAAAAGAAACTCTTTTGTCAAAAAGAAAAAAAATACTCATATATTTTTTTTTTGTTTTTCTTTTTATCTTTTCAACCTTTTTTTTTTTATCTAACGCTTGTATGGTTATTTATTTTCCATATAGCCATCACGTTTTATCCTCAAAAAGGTTCATAATCCTTTTTATTAATCATTCTGCTATAATATTGAATAGATTAATAAAGTGCATGTTGGTTAATAATAGGCTTTATTATCCTTTTTGGAAAATAAAAGGATTAATTAAATGAAGAATACGAAGTTGGTCATGCACACACAAAAAAAAAAAAAATCATGATCAATTATTTTTTGTTTGTAATTTTTTTTAAAAAAAAGTACAAAGACCGTCAGGAAAAAATTTTGATAAAAAAAAATCAATAGGAAAAAGATTTGTTAGCATTAAATAAAAAAAAATATTTTTTTTTTGGGAATGAAATATGATTTTGCTGAATTCTATAAAAGAAAATTTTATACATATAACAATAAAATTTTCATGTAATTAATATTTATATAATTTTTTTTTGTATTGTCAATAATTATTTATGTTTGTTAATTCAACAGTAATATATATAAATTGCTGAATGTAACTCATAATAATTAAACAAGTAATTTACAATTAAATAATAATCATTGTTCAATAAGGATTTAAATTTTTTTATAAAAATAAGGATTTTTATTAAAGTAAATAAATGCCTATTGAAATCAAAGAATGATGAACGAAGTAGAGCACATAATTAAGAATAACTCGTTCAAAGCATATAAAAGTATATATAAATACACCAAAATCGTAGAGGCACCTCTACATGCTCTTTATTAATTTGTTTGTTCAGTACTAGAGTAAAGTCACCGAACACCCAGTTAACAAAATAAGACTGAACAAACAAATTAATAAAGAGCTTGTAGAGTTGTCTCTACGGTTTTGATTTATTTGTATATGTTTTTAAATGCTTTGAAAGAATGATCCTTAATTATGCAATCTATTTCATTCAGCATTCTTTAATTTCAATAGGCATTTATTTACTTTAACAAAAATCTTTATTTTTATTAAAAATTTATATCCTTATTGATTATTGATTATTAATTGAAGGTATATTACTTATTTCTTTGTTATGATTTATGTCCAGCAATTTAAAAATATTATTGTTGAATTAACAAACATAAACAATTAGAGACAATACAAGAACAATTATATATCTATTAATTACATGAAAATTTTATTGTTATATGTATAAAATTTTCTCTTACAAAATTAAAAAAATCTTTTTTTTTTTTTTTTTTTTTTTTTATCGTATTCTTATTGGTAAAAAATCTTTTTCCAATTGATTTTTTTTTTATCAATTTTTTTTTCCTGATGATCTTTGTATTTTTTTTTTTACAAAAATACAAACAAAAAAAAATTGATCATTTTTTTCTTTTTTTTGTGTGCGCATGACCAACTACGTATTCTTCATATAACTAATCCTTTTATTTTCCAAGAAGGTTAATAACGCCTTTTATTAATCACATATATATTCACCTAAATATTTTACAAAAGACGTTTGTTGTATTATTTATAGACCAATTAATTAAAAATGAAATTGATTTGAGAATGATTGAATTAATATGAAATTACTAAACATAAAACAATGATACATTGAAAAGCAAAAAGGAAAGGAAAAAGAAAAATACCTCAATAGTAAATCAAAAGAATTTGTAAGAAAAAGAAATAGAGTTAATAACATATTTAAAGATAGATAGTTAAATAAAACAACAGAGCAATAAGAACATATAGATGAAATAAGAAAAAGAGAATCATCTTTTAATACATTACAAAGATATAAAAATAATAAAAGGTTTTAGGTAAATGTAAAAAAGATAGTTTAAATTAACGGAATGAAGATACTTGTTTTTTTTAGACACATGGTTAACAAAAGGGATTAAACTTATAGAGAATTAAAGGTATCAGTTGTATGAAAAATAAATAGTTAGTCATTCAAGCGTTAAAGAAAAAAAAAAAAATTAATTTTTTTTTTTTGTTTTTGTAAATTTAAAATATAAATATAAAAATACATTTTGTTTTTATTGTAAAATGATTTTTGTTCAAAAAATAAGAATTGTTGGCAGAAGGTTTTTTGTAGTATGATTTGTTTAAATTTATATAAGAAAATTTTATATTTATGATAATAAAATTTTCATGTATTGTAGTATTTATATATAATTTATTCTATGTTTTGTTAATTATTTATGTTTATTAATTTGAGAGGAATATATTTGAATTTCTAAAAACTATTCGTGCTATTATAAATAAAATATATATAACGAAAATAAATAACTAATGATTTAAATTTTTAATAAAAATATAAGATTTTTATTAAGGTAAATAAATGTCTCTTAATAACTGCAAATGCTCAATGAAATAGGCTATTCATATGTAAAAAATTTACCTGTTTATAGCACTAAAATCATACATAAATTCATTAAATTAGTATAATTCTACATACACTTTATTAATTTTTTTGTTCAATATTCTAACAAAGTCAGTGAATAGTAAATCAATAAATGAAGATTTTCGTAAAAAATTTTATAAAAAAATATTATATATGCAATTTCATTTTTAAAAAAGAAATAATTTTATTTTTATAATTTGTTTTTGGGAGATGTGTAAACGTAACAATTTTTAATAGTTTTGTGTGGAAACTACTAAGTATGTCAAAAACTGTGAATTTAATAATAGATGTGTGGTTAAAAATGGGAATTATTAATTTTTATTGAGAATTAAAATATCTAACTGTTTGGAAAATATGAAGTTAGACATGCAAGTACTAGATAAATAAAAAAAAATTTTTTATGGTTGGGAAAAAATAATGTTCGAAAGAAATGAAAAATAATTTATTTTTGAGAGAGTTTCTTTGCAATTAGTTTTTATTTTTAGTTTCTTTTTTATGAATAAATTTTACATACATAATAATAAAATATACATTTTTGTAGTATCTATATAATTTAATTGCATCTAATTAATTATTTATGTTAGCTAACATGGAATCAACAGACTTGAGTTGCTTAAAATTATTCACAACATTATGAGTTAAAATATATTTTGTTAAGATCTATATTGCATAAGTATTTGGATTCTTAAATAAGGATATTTCTTAAAGTAAACAAATGTTTATTGAAAATAAAGAATGCTCAGCAAAGTAGACTACACAAATACAGTTATTTTATAGCATTTAAAATTATTCATAAATTCATTATATTAGTAGAAATAATTTTACATGCTCTTTATTAAAATGTTTATCTAGTGCTCTAGCAAAACCACCGAATAGGTAGTTAACGATCCAATGCATTAAATTTATTATAAATTGATATTTATATAATAAGTATATAATAACTTACATAAACTACTTTAACAATAAAATGAATAAGTACATATCACTTTGCATACTCAATTAATTTGATTATCTAAATCACTATAAATTACATTAAATAGATAATTAATAAATCACATCATTGAATGGAGTATTAAAGAATCATCACGTTAAAAAAAATCTAATATATTATATTTATTTTTTTTTGTGTGTATTTAAAATCATAAAAAATAGTATTTTATTTTTTTTGAGTTTCATAATCCTAAAAACTACAGAATTTTATTAAAAAAAAGTGATGATATTTTTATTTTTTAATAGAAAAAAAATTTCTTTTAATAAAAAAAAAATAATTTTTCTTTTTCGTAAGGCGATGTATATTTTTTTTTTTTTGCATTAAAACTTAAAAAATATAATTTTAAATATTACATTTATATGGAACAAATAAACCTAAATAATAAATAAAAGAGCTAAAATTTAATATTAATGTAAATAAATGAATTATGTAATAATTTATTTTATTCTTAATAAAATAAGCATGGCTAATTTCTACATGTTTTTTATTAATTTGTTTGCTTAATACTAAGAAAGTTAATGAACAAGAAATTAACAAATCAATATTATAATGAAATCTTTGAATGACAATTAATAAATCAATAACTGAACATTTAGAAATATTTAAATTTATTTATAAAAAAATATTCAAGAAGATAGATAATAAAATTTATTGATAATTTCTAGAATTATTCTTATTGTTTCACGCACTTTTTCAGTCTGTTAATTTATATTTTTTTTTTTTTTTATTTCATGCTTTATTTATAAATTTTTATTATTGTTTTCTGTCAACTCTTTACGAATATCTCCATATTGTTTTTTCCATATCATTTCATGACTTTCTAACGTTGGGTTTCTTGTTATATTTTCGTTCACTTTTATTAATATTTCTTTATTTATTTCCTTCATATATTTCTTTTCATTATTTTTCATTTGTAACGCTAATTCTGCAATTCAATTTTGATTTTATCATTCTTCTATTTCCTCTTTTTTTTTCTTCAATATATAATTTCAACTTCATTTATCTCCTATATTTTCCAATATTTTTGCTTCTTCATCAAAATTTTCTTGTATTCTTAACCCTTTCATAATTGTTTTAAAAAATTCATCCTTTTCTTTTTCCCATTCTACATTTTTACATTCCTCTAGTACCATCATATGTATTTCTATTAACACTTTTTGTGTCAACTTTTTCTTTTTACTACATTTCTCTATTTCTTCATTACCTTCTTGTTGTAACTTATTTATATTTCCATGAATTTCCTTCACTTTTTTCTTATTTCTTTTAGTTAATTCTTCCTTACATTCTTCTTCATTTTCATATTCGGCTAATAAATCATTAAACCATTTCTCCTCACTATGCTCTATAAACCATGCTCTTTGTTTTTTTAGCCATTGTCTCCATATTTTTTTCTGTTTCTCTAGCATAGGATTTTTTCCTACTTCTATATCTTCAATTTCTGACTCATTTATTATTTCTTTAAATTTTTCTTGTTCTTGTATCCATTCTTTTTTCAAATTAATAAACCATTCTTCTTTTTTCCATTTCTTTAACATACTTTTATTTCTTTCTACCCATTTTTTCCATAGAAGTTTTTGTTTCTCTATCATTATTGTACTAATCTCTTCTTCCCCATTACTCATTCTTACTAAATCATTTTCCATTATTTTTGGATATTTTCCTTTATCTTCTTCTATAAATTCTTCTAAACAGGCTTCTAAAAACTTTCCTCTATTCAACATCCACTCCTCTTTTTTACATTCCTCTAATACAATCATGTGCATTTCTATTATAGTCTTCCACTTTAATTTTTTTTTCATCATTATGGAATTAATCCTTTCATCTGTATCTTCTAGATGAGTCTTTTCATATTTTTTCACTTCTTCTTTTACTTTTCTATTAATCTCTACTATTGGCTCAAATCTTTCTATATTTTCCTTTTTCTTTTCTATATTATTTTTAGTAATTTCACTTCTATATTCATTCTCTTTACTTTCAACATCATCAACCAATTTTGTAAACCATTCTTCTTTGTTATCATTTTCTATCCACTTTTTACGAATATCTTCCCAATGTTTTTTCCATATAATATATTGCCTTTCTAAAGCAATATTTGTTTTTCTCTCTTCATTTTTTTTTTCCAACATTTTTTTATTTAATTCTTCTATATATTTCTGTTCATTATCTTTCCATTCCAGAATTAACTCTACAAACCATTTTTCTCTTTTCCATTTTTCTATATCCTCTTTTTTTTTCTCTAATATAGAATTCCAACTTCTTTCTTCCTCTATTTTTTTTAATATATTTTCCAACTCATCTAAATTTCTTTGTATTTCTAATCCTTCTATGTTTGTTTTAAACAATTCATCTTTTTCCCTTTCCAATTCTTCCTTTTTACATTCCTCTAATACCATCATATATATATCTATTAACATTTTTTTTGTTAAATTTTTCTTCATTTCATATTTATCTATTTCATCATTTTTTTCATTCTCTTGTTTTTTTACACTTATTTTTTCAATTTTTTCTTCCATTATATTTTTATAAATTCCAACCTTTTCATATTCTTCCAATAACTTCATAAACCAATCCTGCCTTTTATATTCATTTGAATATTCTCTTTGTTTTTCTAGCCATTTCCTCCATGATTTTTTCTTTTTGTCTAACATTAGATTACTTTTTTCTTCCACTGTTAAATTTTCAATTTCATATTCTTCTATATATTCTAAAAGTTTTTCTTCTTCATTCTTCCATTCTTTTTTTAAATTAATGAACCATTCTTCTTTTTTCCATTTCTCTGGAATACTACTATTTTTTTCTGTCACTACTGTACTATTTTCTTCTTCTCTTTTCTTCAATAAATTAATGCCATACTCTTTTAAATATATAGTTTTTTCGTCCATTTCAAAAACTTCTATGCAAATTTTTAGAAATTCATTTTTGATCAATTCCCATTCTTCTTTTTTACACTCTAGTAATGCTATAACATGTGTATCCGCCCATGTATTACAATTGCACACTTCACCCATGATTGACATTTTATTGTCTGAATTTTTAATTTCCCCTTCATATGTAGGTTTTTTAGTTTTTACATTTATTTCATTTGTTCCTTCCTCTTTTAATGTATTATTCCTGGAATAACCTACAACATGAACGGCATTTTTTTCTAATCCATTTTTAATTAATTTTTTTTTTCTATTTTTATTTGTAGATTTATTCATATCCAATTCATCTTCTTCAATTTCATTTTTAAGATCATCCCTATTTAATTTTTTTTCTTCTATTGAAAACTCATTTTTTTGCTTCGATACTTCTTGTACAACTTCATGTACGCGTTCATCTCCACTTACCATGTATATTTCTTTCCATTCCTTTGATTTATTCATCTGTCTATGTTTTAAATTTCTTTCACTTTCAAAATTAATTTCACACACTGGAATTTGTTTTTCGTTGTGCAACAACGAATATTTACCTTTATTTATCGTTTCACTATCTATATCATTTAAAGACATTAATAACGGTTCCTTTGAAATTTTCTTCATCTTTTTTCTTACTTTTTTTTTCTTTGATTTACGATTGCGAAACCAGGATCCAATAAAAGTGTACTATAATTCAAATTAAAAATTATGCAATTATAAAAAATTTTTTATTTAAGTTATAAAAATTTTAAATATATATGTTTTTGCATTTTTAATTATTAATTTTATCTTACTTTACAGAGAAGAATTAAAAAGAAAATAATTCCCAAAATGAATATACCTACTGGAACGATTGTTATTAATATATTTCCTGTAGGATTAACTGTAGGTGTAACTTCAGTACTGTTATTCAATGGGTTTTGTGTAGTAGAATTATTTGAAACAGTCACACTCGAAGAATCTACATTTACATTATTTTTTAATGCACTACTATGAGTCATATTTACAGGTGAAATTACCTTATCCTGTATAATAGAGGCAGGTGTATTCTGAGAGTTTCGTGCTGGGGGATTTCCTGTAACCCATAATGATATATTACCATTTTTTTTAGGAAATTTAGTTACACTATTAGATGCGTTGAAATTTGAAGATTCTAAAGATTTAGGTAATGTTGTATAAGAATTACTATTAGATATAGATGAAAATCTAGTAATGTCTGTAGAAGATTTACTCCTAATAGTAGGATGAATAGTGTCATCTTTTGCAGTGGACATTGAATTATTTGTAGATACTACTGCGCTATTTAATATAGGTTTAGTCATATGAGTTATAGAAATATTTGAGGAAGATGAATTTGAATCTATAGAAGACATTGTTGAAAGGGGAAATACTCTCGTAGGAGAAGATGAAGACCCATTTGTCATAGATGTAGTATTATCAGTTAAGGGATGAACGGTGATAGTAGGGGGTGTATTTATATCATCTGGAGGAGACGCAGAATCATTCACGGAAGGTGTAGTTCTAATAGTAGGTGTAGGTACAGTCATAGGAGGCGTAGAGCTATGTTGAATAGGTGTAATTCTACTGGTAAGAGAAGGCTCAATTTCAGAAGATGAGGGTGTAGGAATTGTAGTATTTGTAGAATTTTTAGTAATAACTGAAGAATGAGCATCATTAACTGTTAAATAAGATGTAGAATCATATGTAGATGGTGGAGTTACAATTGTAGGAGAAATGGAATAACTATTTGTATTAGATGAAGATTGATTTACAGAAATGGATGTACTACCATTTACATTAGGTCCAACTATATTTGCAGAAGGTAAAAGTTGATACTCATTTGTTAAAAGAGGTGCACTACCAGTTGGGGTCTCAACACTCATTAAATGTTTAGAGTTATCTTCTGAAGAATATGAATTACTACTTGCAGAAGAGGTATTACCACCTACAGGAGAATTTGAAACTGATGGTTCAGTTGCATACAAGTTAGATCCAGGAGTAGTACCTGAAATTAAAAAATTAGGTTGTGTTGTAACTTCTGAAGAAGTTGCGGTTATAGCTTGTAGTGTAGATTGGTCATCTGCTTTTGATGGCTTTAAAGTAATACTTATAGGTGTATTTGTAGTTGTATTATTATTTATACTACTAAATGTACCTGTATTATTATCTATTGAATTCGTTGCAGCAACATTATATGGAATATTGGAAATTCCATTTGTAGATTGTAACTTATCTGGTAATGGAGTTGCAACACCTGAAGTTTGATTAGATCCACTAATATTGTTATCTGAATGAACCCATGCTAAATCATATGATTTAGTTAATTTTTCTTTATCTTTAATTTTATATATTAATGCTGTCATATTACATTGATTACTTGTCAGATCTAATGTATAACCTTCCAAAGCATTACTAAAAGTATTCCATGTATTAATAGAATCCTGTCTATAAATCTCTTCGGAACGAATTTCATTGTTCATCATATTAACAAATAGCTTCCCTCTCTTATATATATACATACTCCACTTTGCACAATTAAGTTCAGTTTTATTTTCATTATATGCATTGAAATAGTAATCAGATATATCATAAGTAACATTGTGAAACTTAATCTGTCTTTGCTCAATAATTTGATTTTTATTATTAAAATAAATATCTTCATTGAGTTGATTGTATGTTAATGATGTTTTTATTGGTAGATCTTTATTTTCATAAGGGCTAGTGCAGTTATTATTTTTATTCAAAAGAGGACAATAATGAAATTTTCCAATATTGCATGCTGAATTTGTTTTTTTAAGTATATGTGCTTCAAAAGAATTTTGTTTATTATTCCAATCTTCAACGAGGCATGAGATATTATAATTTTCTTTTTTACTTAATAGCAAATTAACATAATCCATCCCTCTCCAATCTATGTATGTGGATACCTTTTCACATTTTTTTGTGGAATTAGTAATTTTATTATCTTGAAGATAAAATTCAAATTCATTATAAGTATCATTCATAAATGTTTGAATTTCTGTCTTGAGAGGAGTTGTATCATCGGATAAATTAGCAATGCTTTCTGTTGCATTTATTTGATTTGACATGCAGGGAATTTCTTCTGATTGTGATAATAATCTTGCATTTTTTGAGGTAGAGTTTTTTCTCATGATTACTATATCACAACTAGGTTTTCTTAAAATATTCTGTAATAACATTTAAAAATTGATTTATTAAAAAAAATAAATTTTCATATCAATAACATATAAAAGCAAAAATTTGAAGAAGAGAAAAAGGTAATATATATAATAAACATTTATATTACATTTAAATTTTATC